GTACTTACAGTCTGTGAGTCAGAACAGCCGGCATTGTAGTCTACTCTCCCAGGATCAGGAAACAGTCCTCCATAAAATGTGCTGCACACATCTGAATATTTGGGTTGAAGTGTTCTGGAACAGTGTTGTAAATACAACTTAACCACTGATTTCTAGTCGTGTCCTCTTTTGGAAGACCAAACAAAGTAGTTTTGCTTTCACAACGAAGCACACAGCGTCTTCACGACATGGCGGCAGCAACAATACTACAGCGAGAATAAAAGTTACGCCTTCTTTCTTTGCGTGAACATTTGGGTGGCGTTATGCAAATCTTCCCACACAGTGACATAGACATGTGGGGGCGTGTTAGAACGAGGCATTTTAGGTAGGCGTGGTTAACTCTTAACTTTTATAAAGAATATCTCTTTGGATTTGAGACTTTAGTCTTTGCAACTTTACAGATCTTCTTTATGCACCAAGAGCTTGTAACACTCCAAAGAGAAAGGAAAAATTGAAATCGCATCATATGACCCCTTTAAGATATTTAAGCAGCTTTTATAAAATGCCTTAGAAGAACATGTTGTGTGCATCTTGAAACAGAACAATGGAGCTGAAATATTTTATGATAAGTCAGAGCAAGATAATTTCAGTTGAGACAGCTCAAACATGCATTTTAGTCTGGGACTAGCCTTAAACCATGTCTGTGAAACCGGGGGTAAGTCTATCATTGCCGTAAAGGAATGTTCTGGGTTACAAACAAGTGAAGTGAACACACACACGGAGCAGTGGGCAGCCATTTATGTTGCGGCGCCCGGGGAGCAGTTGGGGGTTCGGTGCCTTGCTCAAGGGCACCTCAGTCGTGGTATTGAAGGTGGGAGAGAGCGCTGTACATTCACTCCCCCCACCTACAATCCCTGCTGAACCAGAGACTCGAACTCGCAACCTTTGGGTTACGAGTCCGACTCTCTAACCATTAGGCCACGACTTCCCCTGTGAAGCTCAATGAACAGCATCTGTGACACACAAAATAATCTCAACTTGTGCCTCAGTTTATCAAAGCAAGTGAAATCGGGTTTGTAGTAATGTGCTTACAATGAAAATCTATGGGGCAAGACATGACAATGGGGAATCCCCCACCCCCCAAAAAAACAATACAGGGTTTTTATAGTATAGCCATAGTGGTTTTTACACTGTGCACGTATGAGTGCATCCGAGTGCAATGGTTCCCAGCACCCAAAATGTCACATTTCTGCTTTTAAACACTTCTGTATGGAGCACTGCATATGATATGTGGGGAAGAAATAGATATGTTGACCACAGTGTATTTTTTTTCTTTCGTTTTAGTTAAATTGCTCCCATGTCTTAATTAGTTCCTTCGTTTTGGGTAAATCTTGGCCACATTGTATTCACTCCCTTTAGTTAAATTGTGGCCATGATTTAGCTAAAACGAGAGAATGAATTCCTAATCTGTGGCCATAATATCTGTGTGTGTGTGTGTGTGTGTGTGTGTGTGTGTGTGTGTGTGTTTTTGTGCACTGCATGTCATGCATAAATGTGTCACATATTTTGGTACACTTCCATTGTAAGTTCAATATTCTGCTTGTTTGTACAAACCAAGGGACTAGTAGTTGCTGTTCATATTCTTTATTTGTGTAAATCCTGAAGTCTTCCTTAACTTCTGTCCACTGCTCTTGAGTTAGTGGTCTGCTTCTTTTCAGTTTGGTCCATTTTGGGCCTCTCAGGCTTCCATACATACCTGGTGGCTACAAATCTTACTACCAATGAGGATGTGAGTGTTTTCCTTTCTTAACTTAAGAGGTATATTTTTGATTTAAGGCTAATTTATTCAGAAAAAGTAGTTTTTTGCCTCTATTACACTAAAAAAAGGAGCTAAATTTAAGATTTATGTTTTTGAATTGAGTTTTATAAGTAATTCAAATACATAAATCTTAAATTTAGCTCCAATTAATTTGTGTATCAGAGGCAAAAACAACTTTCATTTTCATCACATTAAATGTATTAGTTTGTTAAAACGTTTAAACGAATAAACTTAATATGATACATATCTGCATATTGTGACAAGTCATACATGAATTAAACTTTATGCATTAAAAAAAAGATAATGGAATTAAGTAATCACATCAGTTTGATTTTATTTAAATAATAACAATTCAAAATCATTCAAATTGCTTAGAATCAGTACAATTCTAAGGAAGCCTGTTTCCGCCACTGAATAAAATATCTAAATAAATAATAATAAAAAAACTTTTTCTCACAATTCTGACTTTTTTTTCCCCAGCGCAATTATGATTTTACATCTGATTCGGACTTTTTTTCCCGCCGCAATTATGATTTTACATCTGATTCTGACTTTTTTTCTCACAATTGCAAGAAAAAAACTTGAAAGATTTAAAGTTCTGAGAAATAAAGTCAGAATTGCAAGTTTATATCACAATTCTGAAAAAAAAATAAAGAGTCAGAATCACGAGATGTAAACTCGTAATTGCGAGAAAAAAAGTTGCAATTGTGAGATGAAAAAGTCGCAGTTACCTTTTTTTATTTTTTATTCAGTGGCGGAAACGGGCTTGTAAAATCGACCACATTTATTCAGTTAAAAAGCCTAAATGTGGTTAAAATATGGCTAGCTATGAAACGAGCAGCATTCAGTTTTTCATATTTCATATTCATATTTAAAATTTATGAGATTGAAACAAACTGGATTTATTGATTTGCTAAATATCATTGTGTATTTAAAACACATTCAGTTTATTAGCACCGTTACAGAAATCTTACCGGTTTAATTTGTGTATGACTGACAAATATACTAATATATTAGTTAAAACTGCATAATCCAAATAATTAGATTTTTTTTTTATGGGAAAATATATACAAATACATTTTTTTTTATTTTATTATTTATTATTTAGGCCTAAATATGTGTATTTTTGTGTCCATATTACAGATTAAAGGTTCCTGGTCAGGGAAAAGTGGAAATGAGGACGTTGGAAATCCTTACAGTTACAACAGCATTATCAAAAACTGCTGTTCTGTGCTCTGTGGACCCATGCCGCCCAGGTGAGACGCGTGTAGATGAGTCTTTACGGTCTCCAGTATGCCAGCGAAAACTACCTCCACAATGTCAAGCCTCTATTTGTGACCATGGAACACAAAACCAGTCATAAGGGTTAATTTTTCGAAATTGAGAGTTATACATCATCTGAAAGCTGAATAAATAAGCTTTCCATTGATGCATGGTTTGTTAGGATAGGACAATATTTGGCCGAGATACAACTATTTGAAGGGTGCAAAAAAATCTAAATATTGAGAAAATCACCTTTAAAGTTGTCCAAATGAAGTTTTTAGCAATGCATATTACTAATCAAAAATTACGTTTTAATATATTTACGGTAGGAAATTTACAAAATATCTTCAGGGAACATGATCTTTACTTAATATCCTAATGATTTTTGGCGTAAAAGAAAAATCAATAATTTTGACTCATGTAATGTATTTTTGGCTATTGCTACAAATATACCCCAGCGACTTAACACTGCTTTTGTGCTCCAGGGTCACACTTATCACTGTGGCTTTATTGTAATTCCTTTGCCTCCTCTCGTGTCTTTGTCAGTTTGATTGACAGGCGAGGATTTGTGCCCTCCGATGACTCAGTCCAGACCAGTCCTGTGGAAATCGAACTCCCGGCTGCTAAAAACGACATAAACATGGTAGGACGAGCAGTCACCTCAGGCCGACCTCCTCCTCCTCCTCGACCCCCGGTCATAACCCTACAGCAACCTGCCATCTCCATTCAGAGCCACTCGACAGCCTGACTGATCCAAAGCCAGCATTTCCCCCTCTTGCTTTGTTGTTTGATGCGTTTGGCACGGGTCGCACCCTTCATTTAGATGTCAGACAGCGTTCGGGTCTGGGCTGCAGCCAAGTGCGGCTGTCCGATTTGTTTGGTGTTGAGGAGAGCCATTGTGGCTTGGTCAAAGTCACATAGACAGATGAGATTTGTGTTGTTTACTTTGAGTTTGAAAGGGACGTAAATGTTTATGGACTCATTCACTATGGTTTGGCTCCCTCGGAGATCAGTGTTTTGGAGTGTATATGGTTTACAGAGCAAAGGGTGTAGCCGTCGTGTTACGTTGCACAACTGTGTATTTTCTTATTCTGAAAAGAAGAAATGAAACTTGATTTCCTGTAACATTAGGTAGAATTCACAGTTAGCGAAAAGGAAAGACACTAGTTTCAAGTGATGGTGTTTATTTTGAAGCTCTTTATTCGAAGACTTGCGAGATTATGACGCTCAATGGTGCTCTTGAAAAACACCTCACAAATGTTTTGGTTTCATTTATATATTCAGTTTGTTTGTTTTTATCAGAATCTTAGCATGTAAAAACAACTCAAGCTGTTTTGTTTGTATAATTGTGGTTGTTTATTCAAACAAACAAGCAACTTGTTTGTTTTTAGTTTTTGTATCATCATGTGGGTGTTTATCAACTTGAATGTGCCTTGAAGTTTTCTCAGATCTTTTTGGTTTATACTCAGATGTTGACGTTGTCACCAAAACAAAAGTGCCTCTCATCACCTCAGTGAATAAACAGCTAACAGTGTCAGTGTTTGTGTACATTTCTCTGGTGTGTAAACACTGGTTTCTCCTCGAGATAAAGTTAATGAGGTGCTAATGCATCTGTTCACTGTTACAGCAATTGTGTAGGGAGACTCACACTTGACTTGTGATTGTGTCTGAGTGCATGTGTATATGTTGTGAAATAGTTTGCATGTGACATGGAAATATTGGATTTTATGCACTGAGTGCATGGGTTTAAATCCCTGATCATTTTTTTTAAATGAAGAACATTCTGACATTTTGTACTTTTTGAACATATTTGTGCTTGTATATATTGAACATTCATTTTAATGTTAAATAAATACTTTTCAAACTAAACCACAGAATTCCTGTCCTGCATGCATGCATATGTGTTGTTGTGACGATTTAGGGCGAGTTGTTTGTTTACTCAGTCGTGTGTGTTTTCCTGGCATGTTCTGATGCATTAGTGCACATTAGTGCTGTTACACTTACCGGTCTTAGCACATTAACCCTTGTCCTCTATGTGTGTGTGTGTGCGCTCATCACACCCCCAAGACCTCCAACTCCTCTCCAAGACCCCATCACAGCCACAGTTCAAGACGGAAAGACTCCAAGAACAGAGACCCAAAATTCAGTTCTCTGCGCTGAGCAGTCGGGCTCTGTCAACCAGCATATTGATGCGTTTCTTGGATTATTTGAATTTGTCCTCATGAGATTGATTGATTCATATGTTTCCAGATCCAGGTTTAGTAAGCTGGCAACCTGGAGAGCAAGTGTGAAGGATGGACTTCCATTAACAGATTGATGACTGGAAAACTTTGTAAAGTGTTTCCATAAAGACAAGCACAAAGGTCTCAAAAGTGAACTGCAGAGCAATTGCCTTTAAGACAATTGTCAGTCTTAACAGTGAGTTCCAAAATGAGCTTCATCAGAACCGCAATAATGGAACAAGGACACTGGCGTCCTCGATCTGGACTTGAACTCTGGGATACATTTCTCTGGCCTCTTTTAGGTCTCGTTGGGGATGCATTGGTCAAGCTTCAATAAGCAAAGAACCAATCTTCTTTATGCAAAAAGCAAGAGCATGCCTGGAGAATATAGCTCACAATCATTCACCATCCATCATAGGGTTGCATGTTGAATCGTATTTTAATCGTGATCACGATTTCGGATTCTCTAGATTTTTTAAAAGCATTTTTTAATTGCTATCACTGGTAATTTGAGTTTATTTAGTCTTGTGCGTTGCCTTGCTTTGGTATCAAGCCTCCACAAGCATTCATGGTTGCGGTTGCCAGATGTCAAAAGTTTAAAACCCCCCCAATCATAGCTATTTTTTCATGAATTGATAAATCTTCTCAGCTGGTTTGCTTAGTGTTGCCAACTTAGACCCTCTGACCTTATTAGCCTTTTTTGTTTATTTTAATTTTTTTAAGTGACCAACAACAAATCTAGCAACTTTTTGGACAATCTTTAGCTACTTTCCACTGAAAATAGTGGGAAACACTTATCTTCTCAACCTGGCAACCATTTGCACACATTCTTTCTGCATTACAGAAAAAGCGCAGATGAGTGGAAAACACCGGCAAACATGTAAATAGGAGTTTAGGGATCTCTTTTGAGAGATTCTGCTCAAATTAAAGTGTAATACAGCCAGTCTGTTTTCTTTCACCCAATCATTTGCGCTGTTGACTAAATCAAGTAAACCACATGAGTTGACATTCTCTTGATTTGTGCTTAAATGAAAGTGCAATAATTCTGATGAAATGTAAAGAAGAGAAAATGACAAAACTCGTGAGTAGTGATCAACCGTTTAACCATTATCACGCAGCCCTGATCCATCATGTTGAACAAGAATCTTCTCACCAGTAATTCATTATTTTCCCAAAGGACTTCAGCATGATTTTGTATCATATTGTGTTTGAACATGACTATTAAGTGTGCACAAGTACTTGCTAATGTGGATGAGATGATGCCTCCAAGTCCCCTGATCACCGTGTTGAAGATCTAGTTGAAAAGTTAACTGGTTAATCTGAGTGTTTCTCTCTAAACCTCATCACGTCTGCTGTTCTTCACGTTGCATTCCTGACACACTGCTGTCTATCAGTAATTAGTAATGGAATAGTCTTAATGCACTAACTCTCAATGCAGCAATACTGTAATGTTTTAGTTCTTCATGGTTTGACTCGTGTGCTTCTGTATGCGTGGACACGTTGTGTTTGAATGAACGGGGGGATGTGGGTGTTGTGTTGTTATCCAGGTTTTTACTTAATATGCAAACTGAATGTTATTTATGAATGCTGAAATCGATCCTCTGTTTCTCAAGACCTCTGCAACATTTGCACAAATAAATACAAAGAACTAACAGGCCAGCCTGGAGTTTGTCATACATTCTGCTGCCTCATAAACGTCAGCCATGGAGTTGGCATTTTTTTTAGCTTATTACCACGTGAGAGGAAATATCACTTGGCAATTCAGATATTTAGGATTTATGGATTTAAAAGTGCACTAGACCTGTGATCAGAACAGAATACTAGCTTGCTGCATACTAACCCTTGTGAAAAAGAAGTGCAGTTGAGCATACTTTTAAAAAGAGTATTACAGAAAAAAAACAATCTTTACTGTTTAAATTGTGTTCAGAATCAGAATGAGCTTTATTGTCAAGTATGTTTACACATACAAGGAATTTGTTTTCGTGACAGAAGCTTCCACAGTGCAACAGAATGACAGTGACAGAACAAAAAAACACAGATAATAAAAAATAGAACAAGTAAATAAGGAATAAAAATATATAAATTGACAGTTGTATGTGCAGGTATATTACAATAGACAGTTTTTGTATGTACAGGTACTGTATATTATGTGCAGATTTGAGGTGTAGACTGAGTATGTGTGTTAGATAAATAAGTGTATGAGTGAATAAAGTGTGTGTTCCACAGTTATTGTCAAGTGTTCATGAGATGGATTGGCTGAGGGAAGAAACTGTTCCTGTGTCTGGCCGTTCTGGTGCTCAGTGCTCTGTAGCGTCGACCAGATGGCAACAGTTCAAAGAGGGAGTGTGCTGGATGTGAGGGGTCCAGAGTGATTCTGCCAGCCCTTTTTGCTCACTCTGGATGAGTACAGT